AGAACCATTAGGACAGGAAAGATGAAACTCATGTTGAATCATCCTCAGATAGTGTACATTCAAGTTTGTTCAAATCATGGCCCCCGGGGGTAGGGCGGGGCCACAATGGCCGATGAAAGTTTTACATAGGAAAATATAAGAAAAATCTTTAAAAATCTTCTCCTCAAGACCCATAGGGTCAGGAAAGATGAAAATCCTCAGGTAGTGTACATTCAAATTGTTCAAATCATGGCCCCCGGAGGTAGGGTGGGGCCACAATGGCCGATGAAAGTTTTACATAGGAAAATATAGGAAAAATCTTTAAAAATCTTCTTCTCAAGATCCATAGGCTCATGTTGAATCATCTTCAGGTAGTGTACATTCAAGTTTGCTCAAATCATGGCTCCCTGGGGTAGGGTGGGGCCACAATGGCTGATCAAAGTTTTACATAGGTATATATTGGGAAATCTTTATTAAAAGATTTTCTTCTCAAATACTGCAAAGCCATGATTAATGATATTTTTATGGAAGCATCCTCTAATGCTATAGATTCTAATTTGTTCAAATCATAACCCCCAGGGATAGGGTGGGGCCACAATGGGGGATCTAAGTTGTACATTAAAATAAATTTTTAAAAATCTTTTTCTAAAGAAAAGCAAATCCATGCTTAGTGATATTTATATGGCAGCATCCTCAGGTAGTGTAGAATTAAATTTGTTCAAATCATAACCTCCAAGGGTAGGGAAGGGTCTCAATGGTGGATCAAAATTTTACATAGAAAAATAAAGGGAAAAATCTCAATAACAGAAAAGCTATGTTAAGTCATATCAACAAGTAAGCATCCTCATGCATTGAAGATTTAAATTTGTTCAAATCATGAGTACCCTTTGAGGTAGGGAGGGAAATGATGGGGAGTCAAATTCAAATTATTTCAAAGTAATATATACAAACAAAATGTTTTAAAAAATCTATAAAAAATTTTTTCTGAAGAACTTTGTAAAGAAGTTATATGCAGAATTGATATGATTTCATGTGTGCGTTTTCCTAGCCGATGTGCTCAGGTGAGCGATGTGGCCCCTGGGCCTCTTGTTATAAAAATAAATTTATTTGGTAGCTAAATAAAGCTAGTACCTCAGGTAGGTAAAATAAAGCTAAGTAGGTAAATCAGTTAAGCTACATAGCTAAATCTAGTGATTGTACTGGACCTGCTGGTCTATATTTAAATTCACTTCAGTAGCTGTTAAAACACTTTCTCAAAATAAATGACATAAAAATTCATGATTGAAACAAATTAGAACCAATTTTGTTTAAAATTTACACTTCCAAAAAAATGTTTGGACAATGGCTGATCATGGATTTTGCAGCTCACTTGAGCTTTTAGCTCAGGTAAGCTAAAAAAGCATGCTACATGCAGGCATCATTTTTTATCTTGTTAGCAAAATTAATTGTGTCTGGCCTATATATGTGTTGATTAAAATTCCTTGAGAGAAAGATTTTTCACAAATAAAGCATATCAAACAGGTCAGGGATACATCTTATACTTTAATTTTAAAGTTGTACCCCCCGCAAACTTTGTCATCTGTCCGGGTCCGTCCGGTCCAGGGGGGGTCTGTTAAAATTGGCATTCATTTTAACAGGGACATTAGAATCTACAACTCCACACAAAGATTCTGACCTAAGGGTGTGTTTTGTACCAATTTTGTCACTGGAAGAAAAAAAATTTGCCCATTCTTTCTTATGGATAAAGAGGTTCTCATTTCACACAAAGATTGAAAATGTGAAAAAATCAAGGTCACAGAAGAAAAAACAATGGCTGTCCATATCATGGATTTTGCATTTCACACAAAGATTGCCCATAGCAAGGGTGTGTCATGACCTTCAAGGTAGGAAGTTCAAGGTCACTGGAAGAAAAAGCATGCTACATGCAGGCATCATTTTTTATCTTGTTAGCAAAATTAATATTGTGTGAAGCTTCACCTTCCAGAAATGTGTTGATCACACAAAGATTGCCCATAACCCAAGGGTGTGTCATGACCTTGACACTTGAAGTTCAAGGTCACTGGAAGAAAAATTTCATAATTCGGTGATGTCTTATGGATAAACTTTATCATTTCACACATAAGAGCATATCAAACAGGTCAGGGATACATCTTATACTTGAATTTTAAAGTCATGAAAAGTCTATCATTTATATATTGAATTCGATTTCAAATTCACATTTACATGCTAAAGTATTAAATAATTAAAAGCAAGTTAATGTTATTTAAAGTCTGCATTTTGTATGGATTATGTGATCATATTACATCAATTTACCAACAATAATACTTTGAAATGAAGGATTATTTTGTAGATGATTGACAGATGAGCTGCCTGTGTGTGTTTTATTCCTCGGAGTTGAAGAAATTCTCATCGTCAGAGCCCCATAGTAAGTGCTACAAACATTTGATTGATCACAAGTCAGCGTTATTCAGTTAGGGGAATCAAAATGAGATTATATTCTACAACAAATGAAAAAATTTCCCCAATAAAACATCGGCGCGAATATGTGTTAATGGTAACGAGGCCGTGTGACATGGCTGGGACGTCGCAAAACACAAACCAGTCCTGATGCGGAGGACATGAATTACTTTGAACACAGTCATCAGTCAAAAGTACTGACGGGGGTACTGATGTGTTGAAACAACATGCCAATAAAAATAGAACATTTTTTTTTTCAGGTCTGCATACATACATGGAATGGATGTCAAAAACATTATTTTGCTTAATACAGTGGAGCCTATAGTTTGATCTTTAATTCAAAGGCAATTTTTAAAGGTTCCCAATCACTTTGTCCGATGATATTTAAGCACATAACACTTAATCACCAGTGAAACGAGACAAAATTACTTTTAGAAATTTCGTTCATATGAAAAGTCGTCGGGATACTGAAGCATCCGGATATCTGGGGTCCGGATATCTGAAGGTCCACTGTACTTATTTTTTGGCATTGGGGAGTATCTGTATAGTTTGATCTTTAATTCAAAGGCAATTTTAAAAGTGTATTTCATACACTTTTAGATGAATTTAAGCACATAACACTTAATTTTAGAAAAGGCGTATTTTTAGCTCACCTGAGCCAAGGCTCAAGTGAGCTATTCTGATCAAAATTTGTCCATTGTCTGTCGTCGTTGTCGGCGGCGATGTAGTCATTGTAAACTTTTCACATTTTTATTTTCTTCCCAAGAACCACTGAGCCAATTTCAACCAAACTTGCCACAAAGTATCCTTGGGTTTAGGGGATTCAAGTTTGTTCAAATGAAGGGCCATGCTCTCTTCCAAGGGGAAATAATTATGAATTAGTGAAAAAGTAATGGCATGTTTTAAAAATCTGACAATTTCTCTAAATGTCTGGAACCACTGGGCCAGGAAAGATAAAATATAGGTTGATCAATTTGCAATCCTAGAAAATGCATAGCTGATATTTCAAATTTTTCAAATATATAGGGTTAGGGTGGGGTCATAATATGATTAACTTTAATGGGGGTAAATTTCAAAGTTTAACATAGGAATACATAGGGAAAATTTTTAAAAATCTTCTCCAGAACCACTGGGCCAGGAAAGATGAAACTCATGTGGAAGCATCCTCTGGTTGTGTAGAATCAAGTTTGCTCAAATCATGACCTCCGGGGGTAGAATGGGGCAACAATGGGGGGTCAAAGTGTAACATATGAATACTTAGGGAATATCTTTAAAAATCTTCTTCTCCAGAACCACTGGGCTAGGAAAGAAGAAACTTATGTGGAAGCATCCTCAGGTAGTGCAGATTCAAGTTTGTTCAAATCATGACCCCCAGGGGTATGTTTGGGGCCATGATGGGGGGGGTCAAAGTTTAACATAGGAATACATAGGGAAAATCTTTAAAAATCTTCTCCAGAACCACTTGGCCAGGAAAGATGAAACTTATGTGGAAGCATTATCAGGTAGTGTAGTGTAGATTCAAGTCTGTACAAATCATGACCCCTAGGGGAATGGTGGGGCCATGATTGGGGGGGGGTCAAAGTTTAACATAGTAACGTAGGAATACATAGGGAAAATCTATAATCTTCTTCTCAAGAACCACTTGGCCAGGAAAGATGAATCTTATGTGGAAGCATCCTCAGGTAGTGTAGAATCAAGTTTGTTCAAATCATGACCCCAGGGGTAGGGTGGGGCATGATGGGGGGTCAGGGTTCAAGGTTTAACAGAGGAATACATAGGGAAAATCTATAATCTTCTTCTCAAAAACAGCAAAGCCATGATTGTTCATAGTTATATGGAAGCATCCTCATGTGGTGTAGATTCAAGTTTGTTCAAATCATGATACCACTTGAACCCAGTTTAATATTTAAATTTTTCAATACTGAACTGATTTTTGCATTTAGTTTTACATAGCCAGAGCTCAGGTGAGCGATTTGGCCCCTAGGCCTCTTGTTTAATTTCACAATATGTTTCCTACTGGTATTTAGGAGAAATACTTGATTTTCAACTTGACAGTATAACTGTATATGTCAGTAGGACTCAATATAAATAAATGTTAGTCTATGCAAGATGGATAAAATCCAATATTAACTGGATTAGGTTGACTTCTAGTATAATAGACATTAAAACCCAATCCATGTATTTTTAATGATTAAGTAATTTGATTGTATTATCATTTATGAGCAGATGTCATCAGGTTTTTATTATACAATTGTAGTTACATAATGTGTCCTAATCAGGCATTACAGATACTGAGCTGAGGTATATAGTTAACAGATTTTAACTCCGAATTTTTTTTACTAGATACTCTGTGGGGTAATCTAGATTATGTAATGAAATATTGCAGTCCTGATACATCATTAATTTTACAATTTTTTCCCCTCTCTTCCATATAATGTGTAAAATTAGAATTTAATTTGAAATCTTGATAAATTTGAAAATGGTTTTATTTCTTAAGCAAGATAATGGTTTCTTTTTATTTGTGTTTTTGGTAGAGTTGATTTCCATTTTATGACAGGGGACGGTCAGGCTTGACTTGCCCGGAGGAATGATACAGATGAAAATTCCACCATTAAAGGGTGCATTTACTTTAAACATATCGAGAAGTCAGATCACCACAAGACCAGCGGGACCTGTACATTCTGGGGGGTACTCCACTGAAGGAGTGACACTGACCTCTACTTAGTGACCGTTATTGCTTTCCGGGGAAGGTGTCATTGGATTTGGATGTATTGGTTTCTTCTGCTGTATTGGAGCCACTCACTATAGTGCTCGTAAGTCAATATTAATCAAAGGACTCAGCTTAATGCTTAATTGTTAAAAAAATAACTGTGAGACACTAAGGGTTGTAGAGGTAGGAACAATGATCTGATTTAAGTGTGACTTATATGTCACATGTGGTATTGTACTTAATTAATAGCGAGGTATTGATTGCTTGGTGTCTGTTGATGGAATTGATAAAATCAAAGTACGGATTCTAATTCCGGGGAGTTTGGCTTTTGTGACGGATATATGGAATGATGGAGAATGTAAACATTGTGTTTTGGGCGACGGGAAATGTCCCCGGGTTAATTATACGCAGTGTCAACTCATTATAATATATACTGTGGGAAATCGTACTTTGAAATACAGGTAGGGGGTCAAACTTCAATTTTTTAAGTCAAAGTCATTACTGTTTAATTTTGTTTTTAATAATGAAAGAAAAAAAATTGATTTTAAACAAATATGAGATGAGTCGGTGACTGTTGATTCTTTTTGTTGTAAAATCTTGTTTGTTGTACTTTAAATCATCAGTATATCTTTTGTTCAGATATTTATTTCTGTTATAACATGATCACTACTGAAGAGCAGAAAGCCTAGACAAGGCTTATAGGAGATAATGCTAATGGAAAGTGAATGTAAAATAAGAACGGAATAAGATTGAGTCAGTTAGTATCGGCAGTGCTGATCTGTGCGCTGTAGGAGAGTAAGATTGTGTGAACTATGAAGACGCTACAGACACACAGCCCTAGCTTCAGTTGTTCAATATACTGTCACAATGTGTTGTTCTGAGAGATCAGCCAACCCTTTAGGCTACAAAGCTATTTGATATATATAAGGATGAGTTGGTCCATTTAGCAAAGGGCTTATTTTCTGATAACATCTGATGGATAAGTAGCAGTTAAGTCTTAATGAAGCATCCACTGTCCTCTATTAAGGGAAGTGTTTTTAATGGAAAAAGCAAGCAAGATGGACTAAATTTATTAATATGAGACAACTCAATGGTCTGAATTTTGAGGTAGATAAGTAAAACTTATACAGATCATACACGAAATTCCAGACAAATTTTGATTTACTAATCAACTTAAAGTAGATGAGATTTCAAAGGGGTGGGTGGGAAAATGGGCTCCTATTTTTGGGATCAAATTTTAATTAACCATATTAAAAAGTTCATTTAAATACCATTAACTAGTATACGATAGCCATTGGTAATATGATATTGTATCTGCATTAATAAAAAAATAAGAACTGATTAATATCTTTTATGAATAATTCATGAAAAAAAATGCACCCAAAATATAAAATTTCCAGAAAAAATATTTTTTTAAAAGATCAACAAACTCCATAAAAAAATTCATAATGATTCAGGAAGGAGACTGAAACTCATCAACTGAAATTTTTTGCATTTATCCTCTCCCATTAAAACAGCTGTTTGCCCATATCAAAATAGATGTAATATAAATAACTCCAACAAGGTCGTCGGAAACTAAGGTAGGCCAGATTTAAATTCAAAGTTGAGACTAAAGTCGGTATGTGAATGATGTTGTAACATCCAGAAGACACTGCATGCAAGAACAACTTTTTTCTAAGCCTTGACATTTGAGCATGCCTTATACTACAGAGGACTAAATATCACAGTATAAATGTAATTAATGTATCAAAAATAATCAATTCACTATTTTTTAATACAATTTTCCACTATGTCACGTACAATTAAGATAAAAGTGATGTGTGATTGCATCATTAACTCTAATGGAATTTCTTAATCACATTGATTTCCAGTCTAGTAAATCATAAAATGTAAGAAAAAATCCTAAATCTGAAAATTGAGGGCAATGGGTTCAATCTAGAAAGCAGGATCCCAAGGTCACATTTAAATAGGATTCTACCTGAGTGTGAATTTGTAAAGTTCATTGGAATGTATGCTTCTTCAGGTGAAACAGTGTCATTTATCTTTTCACAGGTTGACCATATAATACATGTATACAGTTTGTTTAATAAAAATACAGTGACTGTCTTAACATGCATTATAGGTCAAATTATTTTCCTTCTGCCCATATTTGATTCGATTCGATACTTAGTGTTTTGATAGTGACACAGTTTGGGTGACCTTTTTTCAGGTCAATTTAAAGGTCAACAGGTTATCTGCCATACTTCACATCCACATACTTTGCTTGATACCCAGTCTATGTCAACTTAATAATTATAGTCCTCAATGTTAGCAGGTGGAATACATGTATATGTTATACAAAAAGCCCTGATTTATATCGATTGGAACAGTTTCAAGACTTTAATGATACAAAAAACTTTTCCGTTTCACTTTTAAAAAATCAATATGGAAAGTTTGATGATCATCAAGCAGAATTAATGTTATACAATCAATTTCAGGGGAAGTATTAATATTTGATATCAGTTGATGGGGGAGTTTAGATAGCAGTTTACTGGGCCTGGGAAACTGTTTACCTGTACCCGGTAACTGCTCCTGTACACCTGGACAGGTTACACAGACTGTAACTACTCAAACAGTCTAGTACTGGAAAAGTAATACACAAAACCTTAAAGTGTTTAACATGCTGAATTCCAAATGCATAAAACACTAATGTGGTGCTTCATGTCATGATTTTAGAATATTTTATAGCATTTCATTTTATTTTTGCAAAATTTAAAAAAAATTGCAAAAATGTGTATGTGTTATAATATAATTGTAGTACATTGAACTAAAGATTATGTCAAGCAAATTTTTAGTCCAAAGTGCCTTATTTCATTAGTATTTTCCCATAGATATGTTGAATGCTAAGATATCTCGAAGTATTTTTTTGGTTCCATCAAGTCCGAGATAATAGATATACATGTAAATAGGGTAAATCACTTTTTATTCACAAGAAATTTATTTTTTAAAAAATGCAAAAATTTTTATCTGTTATAATATAATTGTTATACATTGAACTAAAGATTATTTCAAACAGAATTCATGAAAAAATTCTCACTTATAAATTTAATATCATTATACCATGGATATTTTGATGCAAATTTTTAGTCTCAAGTGCTTATTTCATTAGTATTTTCCCATAGATATCTTGAATGCTAAGATATCTCGAAGTATTTTCTCGGTTCCATCAAGTCCGAGATAATAGATATACATGTAAATAGGGTAAATCGCTGTTTAGCTCACCTGAGCCAAAGGCTCAAGTGAGCTTTTCTGATCACATTTTGTCTGTCCGTCTGTCCCTCTGTAAACTTTTCACATTTTCGACTTCTTCTCAAGAACCACTCGTCCGATTTTGACCAAACTTGGTACAAAGCATCATTGGGTGAAGGGGAATTTAAATTGTTAAAATGAAGGGCCAGGTCCTCTCACAAGGGGAAATAATCAAGAAAAGACAAAAATAGGATGGGGTCATTAAAAATCTTCTTCTTAAGAACCACTGGGCCAGAAAAGCTGAAACTTATGTGGAAGCATCATGGGGTAATGTAGATTCTAAATTGTTCAAATCATGACCCCAGGGGGTTGGGCAGGGCCACAATGGGGAATGACAGTTTTACATAAAAATATACAGGAAAAATCTTTGAAAATCTTCCTCTCAAGAACCACTGGGCCAGAAAAGCTAAAACTTATGTGGAAGCATGCTGGGGAAGTGTAGATTCTAAATTGGTCAAATCATAACCCCCATTGTTGGGCGGGGCCACAATGGGGAATGAAAGTTTTACATAGAAATATATAGGAAAAATCTTTGAAAATCTTCATTAGAACCACTTGGCCAGAAAAGCTGGAACTTATGTGGAAGCACCCTGAGGTAGTGTAGGTTTTAAATTATTCAAATCATGACCCTGGGGGTAAGGGTGGGGGCACAATAGGGATTCAAATTTTTTCATAGAAATATATAGGGAAAATCTTTAAAAATCTTCTTCTCAAGAACCACTGGGCCAGAAAAACTTAAACTTATGTGGAAGCTTCCTGGGATAGTGTAGATTTCAAATTGTCCAAATTATGATCAGTGGGGTAGGGTGGGGTCACTTTATGTATTACAAGGGGGGAATCTGGTAAAGAACAGCATGGTCAAAGCTTCTCAGGTGAGCGATGTGGCCCATGGGCCTCTTGTTATTCACAAGAAATTTATTTTCATGTAATTACAATAGTCTGTCTGCTCGTGAAAGTTAAATTCTCATATTTGTATCAGTAAGGATTATACAGCAAAAACCATAGCTCCCAACTATATCTAGCTTATGAATTCCGAAAGAGCTGTCTTGCAAAAATAAGGTGTTGCAAAAATAAAGTGATCTACAGTACACCCTTAATTTTAAAAATTGGAATTCAGAAGAACATTATGAGCTAACTTTGTCTTTGAGCAGTTGCTGGATTGTCTAATCACCTATAGGAAGGTTTGACTGTGACTTAGTGCATTCTAGTCCCTTCTGTCTGATTCTTTGTATTAAGGTAGGTCGCGGGTTTGCTTTTGTCATCAATTTTGGTACACAATTTCGACGATTCGAGCGGTTGTTTTGTGCACATTTGATAAATGACTTCAGTTACGTCACAAAGGCAACGTTACATTGTTTCCCGTTTAATTCTCTGCAAATGACTTCAAGTCTGTACGAATCAAGTAGATTAATACAAAGTGCATGCTATTGTACGTTAACCTCATACATGCACATGTTTTATAATTAAATTTCAGTCTGAATTCTGCTATGATTATATGTAATATCTTAGGACTAATTATATTCAAAACCAAATGAAAGGAATAATTTATATTCTAAGTATAACTAAACTGGTAAAAGTCAATCAGAATATATCAGCGTAAAAGTTAAGGTTTGCAGCAAAAAAGTTATCATAGATAAAAATTGTTTAGCGGAAAACTTGGGGGTGGTATGTGCGCACATTATTTGAAACTCAGGTGAACATGCGTATTGCATCATGACTGTTTTATGAAAAATTTTACATACTTTTCAGGATGGAATCAATCAGCATCACTAAAAACGGGTTAAATTTAATTACATGTATTTTTCTAGGTTTTTT